TAGAATTCTTTTATTCCTCATCATTGAATCATCATACTTGCTAATGCTTTAAGCTTATTAGTGAAAGACACAGTCATAAATTTTTGAATTGGTTATAACAGGACTTGAGTAATAAAAGTTAAATGAGATTTGCCTAGATGTCCTAAGAGTCTTCCCATAAACCCCAGTATTGCTAATGCCTATTCACTGCATTTGAGCTAACAAAATTGCTAACCCCTGATTGGGAATCTGATGATTATGCTCCACAAAAAGTTGGTCTTTCCACACTGAAAAACAAGTAATGTTTCTATTTCTGGATTTCAAGGAAGTGCTAGGAATAAGAAGTCTACAAGTGCTTTACTGGTATTCTTTACAAGCATAATATTTAAGCCTGAGATATAAGAACACAGAAGAGAGATTTGAGAAATTAAGGTTTTCTTAATTTGCATAATCTGATGGATGGGACTTCATTACCAGAATTCTACAGTCTAATCCAATGGTTCTTAGGGTAAATTTGTCCCCTAGGGGACACTGGGCAATGTCTGGAGACATTTTGGGTCATTATAACTCCATAGGAGGAGGGGGGCTGGTTGCTACTGGGTAGAGGCCAGGGATGCTGCTAAACATCCTACTGTGTAAGACAGCCTTCTCACAACAAAGATTTCTTCAGCCCAAAATATCAATAATGCTGAGGTTAAGAAACCCTAATTTACTCTAATAAAAGTATCATAGATACCATCATAGATTATTTATGCAACATAATATGCAATATCATATTTTCTAAGACCATGCATTGACTTCAAAAAAGGTCATGAACCTGAAACATAACAAAAAAATTCTATTCCTTAATCTAATCTTCCTCAATGCAATCAGTTGTAAGGTATTAGTTTAAATTTTTAAAAGCCCATTAAGAATAAATCTGCTTTATATTTTTAAACCACTCTTTCACAAACTCATACCTTTTATTACCTTATGTTGGTTATTCACATAATATGCTATTGTAGGAATGTAGGCAAATCTCATCTTCCAAGATTCTACTGTTCAATTCATGTAAAACCAATTCCAAATAAAAACATTTTGACAACAAAAGTTCTGTGTGTGGCCTAAGAGTCAGCAGACCTTGGTTGTAGGCTTGATCCCATCAATGCCTATGTGACCTTAGTGAGTTCCACTTAGCAATATCTTCTGCACAGGTGTGAAAAAACCAAATAACTTAAGAAGTCTATTGCTTATCTTCTGAGAATGTCACAAATTACTCCCAAATGTAGCTAACCTAACAAGCTTTTTTAGATTTAATATAAAACTCCTCCTACCTGTGATGCTCATTAGTGAACGTATAGAAATGCTTCTCTCGGTTATTAGTCACATCTCGGATCCGTTTATACACAGGGGCACTCCGATTTCTCACTTCCTGGAGAACTGTTTGTAATACAATTACATTTCTGATGGCAGGGTCCTCAAGAACATCAATCTTGAAAGAAAGAAGGAAGGAAAGAAAGATCAATTTTTTCTACATTCACTTGTATAGTGTTTCTGTCAAACATAAAACCCAGCCAGTTTAAAAATGCTGAATATGCATTAAGCCAAGGAGCTATTTGGCTACAGAAAAAGTGACAATAGTCACTTAACCCTTCAGGTCTACTACAGAAGAGCACACTTAAACAGACCAATCACAAAACTTCGTAGAACCAAGGCTGTTAATAAAGAAAAACGTTGGCCCACATAGTTTTCATTCGCAGGCACTTACAAGCTGCCTGGGAGTCGCAGGCTGGAGGCCACAGAAGCCCAGGTCTCCGGCCTCCAGGCACTTACAATCTAAGGCAAAAAAGACACCAGGAGTTAGAAAATTAACGTGTCTAAAATACGACTCCAAGAACTGAATAAAACAGTGCAAGGAAAAGAACGTCGGCCTGGGGAACAGGAAGGTTGGGTCCCGATGGGGTTTGCCTCTCCCTACGCATGTAATACTGCCAAAGACCCTCCGCCCTGGGGCTCAGTTTCCCTGTCACACCCCCTGGTCTTGGGGCCGCTCTGTCCGCGGTTCGCCCGTCCGCCGACGCACCTGGTGCAGTAACACGTTGGTGTCAGGCAACAAGTAGTGCGGTCGCGGGCAGAGGCTACTGGCCGGGTCCTGGGGCTGCGGCTCCAGAGCCGGCCCCTCGTGCGCCCCGCCGCACGCCGCGCACCCGGGCGCCCCGCAGCCGATGTCGTCCCGCAGGTAGTGCTCGCGCACGATCTTCATCACACCGCCCGCCCGGGTCTTCTTTAAGAACGTCCTGGACTTGAGCATCTTGCCTCCCGGTGCAGAATCCCAACCCCGGGAGCGCTCTTCCGGCGAAAGGCTTCAAGCTAGGGGCCCTCTCACACAACTATACCTCACCCGGAGGTTCGCCCCTTCCCGCTCCAGGATAACAGCTAGCACCTCTCGCGGGAAAACGCCGAGACTGACGTTGGTTGGGTCTCTGACGGCCGCGAGGATTGGGCAAGAGCGAGGGAGGAGCGCAGCCTCGAGCCATTTCCGCCCGCGGCCTGGGCGGGGCTCGACTCTGGACTCCAGCTCCCAGAGTGCGCCGCTCCTGCGCCTGCGGTCCGGGAGCGCTGAGTTCCGGCGGCGAGGGCGACTGCAAGCTGCTGCTTCTTCCGTGCTCCTCCGAGTGTGGAAATGGTTGTCTTGGTTACGGGTCCTAACGGTCCCTGACCCTGAGATCTCTTGTCTAGGGGCTGCAACCTGAGTTGCTAACTGGAGACCCCTTCGGTCCCTCGCAGTGTCTGCGGTGGCGGCTGCTCCAGCCTTCGGCGTGGAGTATTGAAGCTTTCGACTGTCTCCCTTTCTTTCCCGCGCGGTCAAGGAATCCTCCGAAGCTGCCAAATTTGGGACTTAACTCCTCACGCCGAGGGTATGGGCAGTTGTAGTCTCTGATCCTTTGTAATCCAGGAGAGGATCTGTCTTTGATTTCACCTTTTCTTACCCCTTTCTCTTTAAAAAGGAGGGAGGCCCATCTACTATAGTTCTTACTGTAAGTTTCCCCTCCACACACCTCTTTCCTAATCATTCAGTTTAGAAAACATGAAATATACAATTCCATAAATAATTCCTTATATCGTGTAGTATTAAAACAAGGTAGTTGCTAAAATTCTTGTGACAGGGTAAGAGATTCTATTTAGAATACTTGAGTTTTTCTCTCCTACCCTCGTTTCTGCTGTTTAGCTAGTCTATAAAAAATGTTTTTGCATAACTGTTTCCCTATTTTAAAAATCTTCATTGATGCCTTATTGCGTGTAGAATAAAATCCGAACACGTTTTGACATTTAAGGACCTCTAGTCTCGATCTTGAAGTGGGGATGTGTGTGTGTGTGTTTAGGGGTTGGGGCAGTCACTATTCAAATTCACAAAGACTTGGCCCCAGCCAAACTAACACTGGCTTCCTCTGTAGTTTTACACTTCTTCCATTTCTGTATCTGCATAATTTCCCTTTTTTACTATGCCTGTACAAACCCTTCAGTATTCTAAGTCCTACCTCTGTATAACCTTCCCCTGACCAACTAAGAAGTGATTTATCTTTGAACATGAGTTGCTTTTATTAGTGGCATTCTTGGGTACTGATGGGCTTTATTCTTTATCTTGTACGTTTCTTTGTTTCCTTCAAATACGATTCCTGCCTCTCCCCTAAACTGTTTTTTTAAATTAATCAAAGGGCTGAGTTCATAGTAGGATTTAATGAGTGTATGTTTGATTTGAGCAGTAATTTACTGTAGTTATTTGTCATAGATTTGGGGTTCCCCAAATTGCCTAATAATTAGAGAATCCTTAGTACCTCTTGAATACAGTCTGTGATTTCTAGTTCATTTTAAAGTACATTTAAATTAATGTTTTTTTAATCTACAGAAGATAACAGAATTAGAGAAGAAAACTGACCTGTAATAAAAATGTCGCGAAAAATTTCAAAGGAGTCAAAAAAAGTCAACATCTCTAGTTCTCTGGAATCTGAAGATATTAGCTTAGAAACAACAATTCCTACAGATGATATTTCTTCATCAGAAGAGCAAGAGGGTAGAGTCAAAATCACCAGGCAGCTAATTGAACGAAAAGAGCTACTTCATAATATTCAGTTACTGAAAATAGAGCTATCCCAGAAAAATATGATGATCGATAATTTGAAAGTGGATTATCTTACAAAGGTAAGATCAAGTGTATATCTCGTTTTTTATATGCTTCGTTGTCTTCAAGCTGCAGGTAAATAATTAAATTTATATGTGTGTGTGTGTGTCTGTGTGTGTGTGTGTGTGTGTTATCTGAACTTGAAATGATATGATGATATTTCTTGACCAGAACAGCCTTGAAATAATTTGAGTATTCATGGAAATAGAGAGTAGAACAGTGGTTACCAGGGTTAGGGTGGTTGGAGGGGAAAGGGTTTTGGGGAGATGTTGGTCAAAGGATATGTAATTACATTTAGATAGGACAAATAAGTTCAAGAGATCTGTTGTACAGCATGGTGACTAAAGTTAATGACATACTGTATTCTTGAAAAACATTGCATTTTTGAAAAACAGAGTGAGTGTTAAGTGTTCTCAATACAAAAATGGTAACTGTGAGGTAATGCATTTGTTAATGAGCTAAATTTATCCATTTCACAAAATGCATATGCTTCAAGACATTATGTTGTATATGATAAATACAATTTTATCTGTCAACTAAAAAAAATAATAATAATTTGAATATTGAAACGTAGGGTTATTTAAAGGTGGACAGAGATCAATTACCTCTGTAGGCTTAATTGTAAAAGTCTAGAATGTGGAAGGTGTCTTTTCTTAGGTGTACTTTTTAGCCACGTTGTTTTCTGCTTCATCGAGAACTAACTCTGATATGACTAGTTTGATAGGGAGAATCAAAATCGTAATTATATTATTGATTCTATAGTGTCTTCTGTCCTGGTGGAGATTTGGTTTCTTAGGTACCTTTCTTTTTGCTACTGTGTCTGTCTGTCTATTAGATAGTTACTTTCTAATAGTAGGATGTGTAAATTCTGGTACCATAATCTTTAGGAAATGGTGTTTGCCATGCAAATAAGAAAAGATGTCACTAGCTGTTATTTTTCTTCCCTGTCTGGTTAGTTGTGCTTACAGAGTATTTTATTATATGTAAGACTTTTGTAAAGTTGTCACTAGCTATAAGAAATTTACAGTGATTTCAGAAAGGCAGAAGAGTTATTTCCTCTAGCTATTTGTGTCACTGAGAAAATCTTTTCTTTCCAATGGTAAACCCTCCAGCTCTTGGTCCCAGCTCTTTCCACCTTCCCAATTCGTTGTTTCATTATTCCTCTTTCTTGTTAGGTCAGTCTCCTATTTAGCTCTTGCCTGTGCATGCTAACATACTTCAGTATTCTGCCACTAGAATATTTCTTGACTGTGCCTCTCTCTGAAAATAAGAAAGCCCAACCTCAATCTTGATGAAGCAAAGAAATAGTTTAAGTAAATTTTTTCAAAATGTTATCGGCTAACATTTATTGAGTGCTTATGCTGTGCCAGATGTTGTTCTAAGAGCTTTATATGTGTTGTCTCATTTAAGCCTCACAAAAACCCTTTGAGATCTAACTACTTTGAGGGAAGAGGGTTTTCCCTGAGTAGTCATATTATAAATGAATCAGTAGAGTAAGTTAGACCTAGTACCTGTTATTTAATATCTTAGTCCACTTGGTCTGCTATAACAAAACACCATAGACTGGGTAACTTATAAACAGAAATTTATTTTGCACAGATCTGGAGGAAGGGAAGTCCAAGATTGTGGTGCTAATGTGGTCAGATCTGGTGAGGGCCCTCTCCCAGGTTGCAGACTTCTTGCTGTGTGAGCTAGCTCTCTGGGGTCTCTTTTATGAGGATGCGAATTCCAATTATGAGAGCTCCACCCTTATAACCTAATCACCCGCCAAAGACTCCTACCTCCTAATACTATCATACTGGTGATTAGGTTTCAGTACATTAATTTTGGGGGAACACAAACAATAAGCACACAGTAAGTATTAGCTGCTGTTTCAACTGAAATAGTATCCTCCTATTTTTAACTCCGTTTATTTTCTGTGCCTTATATATGGCCATAGGACTACCTGACTGTGTCTGGTATTTGTCTGTTTGAGTAGACTATGAGGTCCATGAGGATCTTTGTATACATGGTTATATCTCCAGCACTTAGAACAGTGCCTGACACATACTAAATGCTCCAACTATTTCTTAAATAAATGACTGAAGCCCATTTTGCTCTGATAGTGCAAAACCACAGGGTGTTTAATAGGATACCCGAGGCCATTCAGATGAAAGTGATAGAACCAGGTAGGATTCAAATCGAGGAAGTCTAAAACCCATAATCTACAAAAGTGAATCTCCAAACACTTCCTTTTAGATACCCTATGCAGTCACCTACCTCAATGCATCCAGTGATTTCCCATCCCTATTTCCTTACTCATGTTGCTTTTATTCCTCAAATGGGCTCCCACAAGGCTACTGGCTCATATATCTCTACTTCTTAAGATCTCCTTTAATGCAATGCATTGAAGAAGTTATCTCCCATTCATTAATCCATCTACTCAGTCAATGAATATTTTATTAGCCAGGAATGGTGGCTCACATTTGTAATTCCATCACTTTGGGAGGCTGAGGTGAGAGGATGATAGCTTGAGGCCAGGAGTTTGAGACCAGCCTGGGCAACATGGCAAGATC